ATTTCCAAGTAGCGGAATGCTACAGAGGTAAACAAACAATATCATTTGGAAGAGGATTAATAAGTGTTGACATTCATACAAATGAGTAATCCTGTAAACGTAAACAGAATATTTTATATAGATTTTTTTTAATGAAAACTTAAAATCCTGCATTATTTTCCGGACAACCCAATAATTATAGTTTTCTGTTCTGTCCTTTCTATCATGTGATGTAGGGGGATTAGTCCAAATATCTTTTCCATGCTAATTATAGGACATGTTCTCATTGCTCCCGTTATGCAGATGCATGCAAGTCTCTGTATTTTTGAGAGAATACTTTGGGATAGTGTGAATGTAATTTATTAGCGCGAATAGAGCGGCATATCCCCAATAACCTCGACGAATAGCCGGTACTCTGGGTCGGATTGTGGTGTGTGAATGTAATTTATTTGCGTAAATAGAGATTATCCCTAATTACCGCAAGGAATAAATAGTAATCTGGCCTAGCGGGAATAGTTATGGGAGTATGTTCATTAATTAATACACATCTTGCACATTTTTATTCAACAAGTTACAATGTACTTAAATAAGTTTGATAAATCACATTACCTATTTGTTTTACTTTTATATTTATTAATTTATTTGACTAACTTGTTTCTACAAGGACAAAAAAATGCACGAATATTCTCAATTAGTGACAGCAATAAAATATTCTGTTTTACTAGTTTCTCCTACTATTTACCGTTCTAATTTATGTTAATATTGATAAAATATCTGTTTAACGACCCACATTTAATGATTCAAATGTGCAGAACGGAATGGTGTAGATACCAATCCGTTTCATATGCTCCCCTCGTCATGCACACAGTTTGGGAAGTCAAGTCGGCCCTACTTTGCTAATAGGAGGTGCCGGTGTTCCCCGCTCCTTTGTCGTACCGTAATAACTGATTGCTATCTTGAAAGAAGACGGCGAAGCCCCTTTTTGACGAAGGGGCACCAGCTACAAGGAGTAGGAGAATAACAAGGTACCATTAGCAACACCCTCCACCCCGGCTGACACCCCAACAATGCAAAGACGGGAACGATCTCTCAATACCTTTGTCCAAAATTCAAACCGCTTTCAAGAGGAGGGACATCAATAACAGACCTGCAGGGAAAAGACAACAATTAAAACACAAACTTAGAATATTTGTAAAATAAAAATCTCTTTCATAAACGTGGAGTTGTAAAAGTAGTATTTCTTTATTAACGGAAAAATTACCCACACACACATACAATGCCGGTTAGTAGTTACATCAACATATCAAATTGGACAACAAAGTTCCTATTCTCCAAAATTGGATTATCAATTGTATTTGAGTTATTTCACTTTTCTGGTTACTTCAGCCTTTCACAACTTTCTTCTATAAAGTCCGTTAAATATCATACAGTGTTAAACCACAAAATCACTTAGAAGATAAACTTTTACGAGTTTCAGAACTTCTTGCCTAACGTTCAAGAAAGATCATCTTCGTTCTCAAAGGTTATCACTTATTAAATCCATTACAATTTAGTGCTCTGACTGACCAAATTACTTCTTTCAATTAATTAACCTTTTTATGTAAGGTTTTGGTTGAAATGAAAAAGTTAGTGTCACGAACGGGATTCGAACCCACGATCTTCCGCTCAATACCCCGCTGCTCCAACCAGTTGAGCTATCGTGGATTCGAACTCGGATACCAAAAATGGCAAAAGGAAGGAAAATTCGAAAGGCTGTAGGTTGAGATGGAGATTTGGTGTCCGAGTGGATCGAAGTCAGGATAGCTCAAGTGGTTGAAGCAGGGACGTATTGAGCCGAAGGCCGTGGGTTCGAATCCCGCTCGTGACACTAACTTTTTTATTTCAACCGAAACCTTACATAAAAAGGTTAATTATCACTATGTTGAATTAACTCTTAGTAGCTAAAAATTTCATTTTTGATTAAAAATATTCACCCTTTTTGACTAAGCAAATCAAAAAAGACGGAGATTTTGCACATATAATTTAATTTTTTGAAGTTTTTTCATATATTCAATTTTTGCCAGAGTCTTTTTTGTTTACTTGTTATTTTCATTATGTTTTACTAGAAGTTACAAAATCTTAATGACAATTTTTTTAGCTGTTTGTAACCGAAAAATTAAATTTTTAGCAACTAATTCGTCAATTTACATTGGTGATAACTGACCTTGAGAAATTAAGTATATGTGTTTACAGCTTCTGTAAGCGCGATATCTATCAGTATTTACAGAACCTTGAAATTCTTACTTAAACTTTAGACAAAAACATTGGAAACTCGTAAAAGTTCATCTTCTAAGTGATATTGATTTTGTTTGTTTTAAATAAAATGAATACATAAAAAAATACAATTAAAAAATGAACCTCATATATTTCTACTCTCTTTCTATTAGTGAAATCAAATTTACCGCTGGATTAAAAGTTTATAAGATATGTGGGATTTTATGGGATAAAGTTGTGAAAGGTTGAAGTAACCTGAAAAATGAATATTTCGAATACAATGGAGAATAGGACTTTGGACAATGACTTTTTGATCCAAACTGACGATATAGGATAACCTCCTGAAGTATTGAAGTATGTTTACAAACAACACCCTGTCTACGTCCTTTGATTTTTTCTGTCGAAAATTACCCCTAGGTCTTTTATTACATTAACTTTATCTATTTGTATACCATAATTGAATAATTATGATAAACATCGCTATGATTTTTTTAATATATCACTACTTTGCATTTGGAAATGTTTAAATACATATTATATACAAATCTCCAATGAACAATAAAGTTTAAGCCACACTGTATCATAACAATATAAGACTCTTTGGCTATAAATTTTAATAAAACTCAATTTCAGTGATATTAGCGTCATTAATCAATAATTTATCTAAGAGAAGTGACAAATGTCCACCTTGATGAACCATGATTGAGAAAGATATGTTTCCACACTTCACAATTTGACGAAGAGCAAGTATATAAACAATTTTCAATTAAGGTTTTTCAGTTGAGATAAAAAGTCAGTGTCACGAGGATTCGAACCCACGACCTTCGGCTTGATACGCCGCTGCTCTACCACTTGAGCTGTCGTGACTTCGATCCCCTCGGGCACTATCTTCCCATCTCAACCCCACCTTTTGAATTTTCCCTCCTTTTTGCCATTTTTCATCCCGCTCGTGACACTGACTTTTTATCTCAACTTTTTTTTTTTACTTCATTTATTTGTATCTACAACTGTACATGTATTATATACAACCAGCAGATTGGATTTCAGATTATGTGTTTGGCATTATGGGCGTTATAGAGAAAGCTACCCATTGGCAGACGCTCTGGATTAATGAAATGATATTAATCATTTAAGAGGTCTCTTATCCATATTCTTTTCAGACGTTTACGTGGTAATTGTGGGGAATGGAGGAATCGTATTTGTGTGTTGGTGTGATTTTGTAATTTACTATGAAAACGTCTGTAATATGTTTTGATGGATGAAAAAACTGTTGGGATTTGAAGATCTCTGTGAAGTGTACTATTGTTTACATAAAAAGGGGCAGAAACAATTAGTCTTAAAATTTTGCATTGAAAACTTTGTAATCTTTGAGTATTGGAATACTTCGCCGATCCATATACTTGGCACCCGTACATCCAAATAGGTTTGAGTAGGTATGTGTATGTCGAAAGTTTTGATTTTAATGGTAATTTTGATTGTCGGTTGAGAAGGTAATAAAGAATTTTAAATCGTTTGTTCAGTGTCTGTTTTTTTAATCGTGTGTGTGGATTCCAAGTTGGTCTTCTATCAAATGTAAGTCCTAAATAGTTAACTTTGTCGGATTGAGGAACAGGTTCATTGTATAAGTATATGCTAGGACAAGTCTCACGACGGAGTGTAAAGGTGATATGTTGTGACTTTGAGGGATTAAACTTTATTTTCCAAAGATTGCTCCATTTTTCAATTGTTGATATGTGGTTTTGTAACATGAGTGAAGCTTGTGTAGAAGAGAGATGGCTTGTTAATATGGCGGTGTCATCTGCGTAAGTGGCGGTGAGTGTATTCTCATTTGTGGGCATATCAGAAGTAAAAATTGTGTACAACAGCGGAGCGAGTATTGACCCTTGTGGCATACCTGCAAGCACTTCTTCCATCCCAGAAGTCTCCTTATTCTGGTTTACTGCGAAAAATCTCTCTTTAAGGTATGATTGTGTAATCAGATAATAGGCCTGGGGTAAAAATAATTTTAATTTGTACAATAATCCCTCATGCCATACTTTGTCGAAGGCCTGAGAAACATCTAGAAACACTCCAGTCGCGTACAGTTTCTACTCGAGACACGAAGTAATGAAATCAGTCACTCTGTGAAGTTGATGAGTGGTGGAATGATGGGTTCGAAAGCCAAACTGATGGTCTGGTAAGATGTTGTTCGAAGTAGCAATAGAGATAATTCTTTTGTAAATTAATTTTTCGAATAATTTAGAAGGAACGGGTAATAAACTAATAGGATGATAAGACGATGGGGAGCTTAAATTTTTATGGGGCTTTGGGATCATTTTAATGTAAGAAAGTTTCCATTGTATGGGAAAGTGTGTAGTCTTCAAAATTGTGTTAAATAAAGAAGTCAAAAAGACGACTGCTTTTTTGGGAAGTTCTTGAAGAACTTCAGCTGTTATCAAATCATGACCAGGTGATTTTTTTGTAGGAAGCTGTCGTATTTCTTGTGATACTTGTTTTGGAGTTATTGGTTTAGGTGGCAAATCTAGGGGTATAGGTGTTACAAGTGAATCTGATATAAATTTATCGTGTTCGGTATTCATTATGTTATGAGGTTATCTCAACTTAAAAACCTTAATTAATTGAATGTTATTTAATTGGTCAAGCGGACCACGAAAAATAGTGAATTTAATTGTATATAAAAAATAATATTACTGTAAGGATTTCGTTCGAGGATGTCAAACTACCGCCAATAAAAAATGCGCACATTGAACATGACAGATCAAAACATTTTATGACACGTGTTTAACAATATATGAGATGATGCACCTATGTTATTCCAAAACTGAGAGTAAATACAGACGAAAAATGACGAGAAACGACAAAATTAAGAGGTTCATCACCCAGCTACCACGTGGAGAAGTGACACAATTTAAAGCTCTTTTGTAACAAGATAGTACCTAAGTCACGACAAACACGTATCAGAGAGAGACTAAATTTATTCTACATTAATAAGTCACATGTTAAATAAATGACACTAAAACCAGTTTTGGAATATTTATTTTAAACAATGTTCAAATGTTAAATTTAAAGTTGAGACATAATTTTCATCTTTCAGATTCTCTTCATTACAGATTATTTGTCACGTATGCCCTGAGTATTTCATTCCACGATGTGCACGTACAGATATGGCCAGCAGTTCAAAAGCAAAGCCCTGATCGATTTGTTGTTGTTTATTTTAGTTCTTAGCGATTGCTATTTGACAACTTCCGGGTCGAACGGAAAAGTAATAGGTGGAAGGAAAGCCGTCCTAGGCGAATTTCCAGCGACGGTGTGTCTCGACGGCATTATACGATGCGGAGGTACGCTTGTGTCATTGGTCACAGTCATAACAGCTGGCCATTGTTTTTTTCTCAAAGAAAAGCGCGTGAATCCCAGCGACATCGTGATAATCGGAGGTACAGTGGATTTGGAAGAAGAATCGGGTGACAAGCAAGTATCTTACTTACATGAAAGACTACATAATTCACGACGAATTCAAATATATAAATATTTTTTCCGTCAAGTACCGTGTGAACGACATAGCGTTGGCGTTTTTGGAGTCTGCTTTCATCGAAACAAAGACGCTCAAACCCGCGTTTTTCCCGGCAAGTAATGCGGCGGGAATGAGAGAGTACATGGATAGAATAAAGGCGTCAAACGCGACCTGCCACGGCACAGGATACGGTTTCGTCTCCATGGAACCGAAAATCATCTCTCAATATTTGAAAGTGATCGAATTAAGCCTATTGCCTGACATAGTGTTGCCTGAATTGATAGAATACGAAATGTGTGCCATTTCGAATAAAGCCTTCCATCAAACGTCATACGGAGATTCGGGATCGACGTTCCTTTGCGGTGGTCAAATCGTTGGCTTGACAAAAGGCGGTTTAGGTACTCTTCCAGACGACGAACATATCAACGTTTTGGTTTTTACGCTTTTGGGCCCTTACTTCGAAGATTTCGGACTTGGGGGATGCGATGGAATGCCAAATTTCCTATTTCTTCCAGTTGTCCTTCTATGCTTCCTCTTCTCGTCGTTCTACTGTTCAAGAATCTGATGCATTTCTCACCTTAAATATTGAACAACAATAAAATTTAATATTTAAAAGTTTCAGTTTGTTTCAACCATTACAATTTTTAATGTTGAAGTGATGACATAACATATGAACAGTTTAATATTTATAAGAAACTTCTTTGGATTCTAATCATCATATGGTAAACCAAATATAATACCTAAATAAACTCTCATTTTACAATTAACCTTTCAATAGGTTTTTGCTGAAGATTACAACAACCTCCAGTTAGGAGGATATGTAAGTTTACAATCCACACAAGAGTGGAGAAACAACCCATGGCAGTACTCCAACGAGACTATGTCTATTTAATTAACCCTAGTATCACTGGGTGCGAGATCTCGCCGTCATTGTCTCTTCAGCAGGCGAGTAGTGATTGAGGCATAACCTCTCATTCTTCCTTCCTTCGTTCCTTTCTTTCTTTATCTATCTATCTACAGCTTCATTTTTTCATCATAATTTGTTGTCACTCACAACACAAGATTGTCACTTCATCTGTCAGTATGTCAATATCTTTCAATCTGTCATTCACTCTATTTTGTCTCTCTCTCTCTCTCTCTCTCTATATATATATATATATATATATATATATATATATATATATAATATCTACAGCTTCCTTTTTATCTATTAGTAAATCACAGATAATCATCACTCCCTCACACGATAATTTATCAATCAGTATCTTTTAATCTGTTATTCACTATCTTTGTCTGTCTGTCCCTGTCTCTCTCTCCCAAAACGATGCAAAGTATTGCAGTGTAATTAAAATAGAAATAGAGATCATTATTTTATATTTATTCAACAATGAATAACTGAAGTCGACCTTTCGGTGAGAAATCACCCAACCCGGGTCTCTACTTAGCTGAGATGTGGCTTGAAATGGAGCACATTATCTACAATTATTGGTCGATTGGCCGCAATACACTATGTAATGAATATATTCATGTAATTTGTCAAAAAATTTCACATTTGGGAGCCCATTTGATAAATAACTTGTTCACTTATGTCCGTCTAGGGTAGGCCCAACAGCGTCATAATAATCAAAGTCGTCGTGAACTTAAACGATGAATCTACCAGAAAGGAGGTGTATGAGAGAGGCTGCATATTACACAAAATTAAATGTTGTCGGTTTGGCATTTTTTGAGCAGTTTTCTTGGAAATGGACCCATTCAAATTAACAGATTTTCAAACAAATAATACCTCTAAAAGGAAAACATATTTGGTCCAAGTGAAGGCATCTAACATGGTATAGCCTGAAGACCTTCCATGGTACAGGGTACGGCTTCGTCCATACGATTTAATCCGTATATATTGAGTATATATTGATTGCTATCAAAGAAATTTGCTGCATTTCGTAAAAAGATCCTGCTCAAACGGCACATGGAAATTTCGGATCGGCGTTCCTTTGCGGTGGGCATATCGTTGACATAACCAAGGCTGGCTCGATTATTGAAGAAGACGGGGAAGGGGGTGAACCACAATTTTGATTTTTGTACTGTTCCGCTCTTCGACGATTTCGGCCTAGTGGTGAACAAAAAGAGAAGTGAACAAAATTGTCAATACCTTCCAGTTGTCCGCACTCTTTATACCGTCCTACTGTTCAAGACTTCTGAATCATTCCTAACACTTTAAATATTGAACAAAAAATAAAATAAAATATATTATAGTATAATATTGATGATCTCATTTTAAAATTACATTGTTAATAAAGTAAGCATAACATGTTTGACCAAAGAAAGGAGTACTGTACCTACTGTACATCTTTTAAATGGTTTTAAGCTTCATAGTAAATATTGTCGATCAAGGTATGGTCAGAAGAAAGCAAATTCAATTGTTGCTGCCAAACTTTCGACCTATTTTAAGGTCATCATCAGGGTAAAACAATCTTAAATATGTCTTCAAATTGACATACTTAAGATGTTTTCCATGATGTTGAGCTTAAAATAGGACGAAAGCATGGCAGCAACAATTGAATTTGCTTTCTTCTGACCATACGTTGAACCAGAGAGTTCGTGAGTGAAAAAGTGGTCGGAATTTCTAATAGTGAAAAATAAATTTTACAGTGATGTGTTTGAAAACTGCTTTCTTTAGTAAAAAAATAAAACATAAATATATAAATTAAAAAAATAATGCTGTGGAATTTAATTTTTAGAACTGCTGAAATAATATGTAGAAGTAATAAGGTGAGATTTATTCTTGAGGTCAGCTGGGATGGACCTGTATCTTGGTCGTTTCCGATCATTTTTGTTTGACTTACCCCATGTCATCCCCGTTTATGCTACTTTATGCGATAAAATAGTTAAGGGCTTAGGAATAATTTTAGGACGTGCTGCTTAGACTAGACTTAGGCGTTAAAGTGATTCCTTTTCCTGGGTACTTCTCAATTAACTGTTAATAATAGAGTTGTAAGCGGTGCCTAAAAGACTTCTTCCCTAAATGAGGACGAGTCGAGTATGTAAATTCATAGGTGGGCCGGGGACTTAATATCAGAGTGTGAGGTTTTAAGGCCCGGAGATACCCGCGGGCATCCCCAGGTTAAATATTCATTATGTACTATCGGATGTGGAAACATGACCGCCTTGAGGTGAGGATTGGTGTGCCCTAAACCGGATTGAGCCTAATGTCTATATCACTATGCCTCATAGCAGTGTACTGCCAGTTCGGAAAACATGCCGCTAACGGTTTTGAATACCATTCAGAGGGAGAAGGAGTTGTCTCCAGAGTAAACAGAAATTATACTAACCTCCTACAATTTCAGAACCGCTCTTGGAGGTGCGTGCGACTGTCCTGATTCGGGTCGAATCTGGTGAACGAGGCAGTTCCGGCGTTTAAAAACTCTTCACCCCTGTCCTCAAGAGGTGGTTGGGGCCGCGACATAAAGAATTCGCAGGTACTAGAACAGTTAGTGAAGAAAACCCGAAAAATGCCACAAAAAATTTTGGTAGGAAAATATCCTTAATCCTCCCTAATAAGGTCTTAATACATCAACGTTACTAAAATCAATCTTTGTACGTAAGGTTTTGGTTGAAAGGAAAAAGTTAGTGTCACGAGCGGGATTCGAACCCACCCATCCGAATGTCGTGAAGTGTCGTAGGTATCCCGCTCATGACGCTAACTTTTTCATATCAACCAAAACAACGTAAAAAGCTTAATTAATTGAAAGAAGTCATTTGGTGAATAGACCACCAAATATAATGGATTGGAAAATCTCTTATGAGAATATTTTTATAATAATAACTGCTACAATAATAAAACTTATTAAAAATAATAAGTATTAAAAAATAAACTGTTACTAATGAAAAGTGCAAAATTAAAGCTAAAGTTTAAAAACTGAGTCATGAACAGACACTAAGTTTTTTCTCAACTTCATTAAATCTACCGACCAAGAATAGTTTAAAATCAGTCAAATTAAAAAGAAGACTACTGCAATTTTAATACTAAAACTGTCAGCGATTAATTAAAATCGCAAAAGTAAAACAATTAAAAATTGCGTCATGAAAAATGTCTAAAAATCTCCCAACCTGAATCAATTTACGGGTATAATTAGAAGAATGCACGGTACAAGTAGAATTTTAAATCGGCCAATATAATTTTACGGTTACTACAGATGATAGGGAACAATTAAAAATCAAACGTAGATTTTAACAACTGTATTGTGATTGAAGTCGTAAAGCATGTTGCATAAACTCGTATGTTTGGTCATAAATGTACAAATCCAAGCGGGTGAACCACAACCCCCTCTTTTCAAAACATAAACTATAACCAATAATAATTGTCTAAACTTAATAAAGACTTATTATAAATCCATTATATTTAGTGGTCTATTGACCAAATTACTTCTTTCAATTAATTAATCTTTTTACGTAAGATTCTGGTTGAAATGAAAAACTAGTGGCACGAGCGGATTCGAACCCACGATCTTCAATACGCCTCTGCTCTAACCGAGTCGACCTTAGGGCCCATCTTACATAGTAAACAAAACAAACATTCCAATTAAGCGTCTACTACTGATATTCTGTCTTCTCGATCCAGAAATTTGCAAACCTGTTACATGCCTTGAGCAGTGGATCGAGTAGTGGAAAATGGCAATAAAAGTACACAAAATGTGACATCACTTTCTCCCTTCGAATAATAACCATGAAACAACATACTTTACTGAAAAGAAAAAACTCAACAGACTCTTCTGACTTCCTAAAAGATTGCAGTACAAGTATCACTGACCCTCCAAAACAAACGACTCATTTATATGACCACTAGCTTTTACCTACGACTTCGTCCACGTGGGACTCAGTTTTAATATACCTCTCTAATGCGATGCAGAGTGCTAGTATGGCTTTCTAATATCGTCTCGTTCTCAAATTCTTCTCTTCCTCAATTCACTTCGGTCTATGGTAAAAAATTGGCCATATGTCTCCCTTAGGGATGAAATTTCAAAAAATCCTTTCTTAGCGGCTATCCATGTCATTATAGGATGCACTGTCGAAATTTCAGCCATTTAGATGAAGCGGTTGGTGTGTATGTTGTCCAGTGGGGCTGTTTTATATATACAGATTCTGAAACCCTTTTTGACATGAGGCATCGAAATTAGGTGTTCTACCAACGATCCAACCTCTAACCATCTTCAATGCTTTACTCACTGTATCCAGTCTTACCATTAATTCATACATGAGGTGTGAGCGTAATGTATTAATTACCATAAAAGTAGTATGTTTGTGATGGAATATCGACTACAAACAGACACACTAAAGTAGTCAAGGTTATTTAGGTTTACTTATATTTGCAATGTGGCGTAATATCAAAAACCTGGTCACTACCCGATTGTATTTATTTGCGTGAGTTATTAAGTGTGTACACAGTGGGTGGAATATCGAGTACCCAAAAACGTGTCGAACCAATTAAATTAAATTAGGAGAGTGAAATGAGTGATTTTTACTCTGTTTATTGGCGTGAATGAAGGTGCAAAACATCTTGCTCCCGACCGT